CCCCAGTTATCACTGTCTAAAAATTGCTGTTTCCGCATTACTTCAGTGATGACTGAGTAACGTTATCTCAAAATGTTTTTGAGACACATATGGAAACTAAAGATCAAGAGAGGGAATCGGGGAGTCCAGAAGAGGAAACTGATACCTTCAACATGCGGGACAGATCTGAGGTGTTTTGCGAAGGAGAACTCTGCGAAAGTTTTTTAAAACAATTAGATCAAGAAGTGAAAGATTTACAGAATTCTGATTTTTCTTGTTGGTCTTAATTCTACAGTTCATTGGTGGATTAAATTTATTACCTTGTTATTTAATGTTTAAATCCCGCACTGACACAATTTTGGTAAAATTATTTTTAACCTTTCCAAGGTACACAATCATCCAAAAACAACAAGTTGTCAATTATTTATTGTTGTCGAGAAGGGCAATGTAACTTCATAGTTTGTGTTTCGCATTCAGTTTCTCTGAGTCCCTCACCCCCTCCCAAACCGCGTAGGTAAAAAGTACGTCAGTCTTCTTGAGTAAACCGTTGGCTTTGCTTCAAGGAATTTGCTTATCCTAAACAACGGAAAGACGAGTATGTGAAAAGATCAAAAGCATGCTGTTCTAAAACACAGACGTACTTTTCACCTAAGTGGTTGGGGAAGGGCACTCAGAGAAAAAGAATGCAAACAAAATTCAAATATGCAGCGAAACAAACAATAAAACCCCAGATAAATAATCAAACAAACAATAAAACAATGGAGTTACTTTCCTTGTCTCGATAAAAAAGGGAAGAATTGACAACTTATTATTGATTATAAATGATTGCGTACCTTGGAAAGGTCAATAATAACTTATGTCTAAGTTGTGTCAATGCGGGACGTAGAACGTTTAATGACAAGATCATCAATTCAATCCATTAACGAACTGTAGAATCAAACTGACTAGATCTATGACCAAAAAGAAAAATCTGAGTGCTGCTAGTCTTTATCCTGTTGATCCAATTGTTTTTAAAACTTTTGCAGAGTTCGCCTTCGCAACAACAGCCCAGGTCTACCCCGCATTCTAAAGGGCTCCCCCTGGACTTCCCGATTACCTCTCTTGACCTTTAGTTTCTAAAACGCATGGGAACCAAGGCGAGAGAAAGGTTCCAACTAAACGGTAGCAGATTAGCTCTAGATAGGCAAAGCGAAGGCAGAGGGATACAGAGCAACAGAAGGGGAAAAGAACTAGAACGCCTAGATTTAGTCGAAATTTAAAGGAAAATGTATAGGTTTTGTCAATGTGAAAAAGATGAAAGTGTATTATTCAGGGAATATGGAGGTGAGAAGAGTGTGTGTTTGTGTGTGTGTGTGTGTGTTGTGTGTTGTTTATG